TCATTTTGCTGTTGTACAGTAGGGTTTGGGGTCAGATGGAGACAAAAGGTGAAACTACTAAACTGTTACATCATTGTTACACCACTATCAGCGAGTGACACAAACCATGGGCCTGTATAGGATTCATCTATACATACATTTGCAGTTAAATATTTTTGATACCCAATAGACGACATTATTATTACTGAGATTGTTGGAGGAGTTTGCTGCATTGACAGTTAGTTGCATTGTTTTAATAATGTTTGTGAACCGTACAATTGATGGGGCGGAAAGTAATGTAGATTTGTACTCAAAAGAAGTAGCTACCGCTCTGTGTTATGTATGTATACACTAGGTATGGCCACTTATTTTCACATTGCACAAGCAGAAGTACTGAGCCCAGGAATGATTCCTGTCCTTATCATCAGAATATATATATATCAGAATATAGTAGCTAGAACTTAAAGGAACTAATAATACTTAGGAAATTACAGTATACTCTTGTAATTAAGAAAGGGGTTGAGAGGGAGAATATGATTTGCATCCAGAAACTTTGCCGCAGTAGTGACACTGCACTTGAAGTCTTAGCTCTCATACATATTAGCAAGAAAATGGAGTAAATTTCATATTAGCTCTGAGTGTCCCCTTTTAGTTCTGCTGTAATATGAAATAGACCATACAGATATTAAAGTAATTTACACATATCTTATCTTGGATTGTGTGTGCCATGAATTTTTAATGTGTGACATGTTTTATATCCAGCCCTACAGGGAGGTGATTGGATCCATGAAGTGAAAATAAATGTAATTGTAAATGTATCTACCAAGCTACACTGCTTCATGTCCCAGAAAACCGAAACCTTTATTATTTAGTTTGTTTAGCTTACAAACATCAGTTTCCTGGCAATGTAAATGAGTTTATTATTGTAAGGTACATGATGTAATAACAGCAAGAAATGACAGAGGCATGTGGATTTGGTATTCAGAAATTAATGTGAAGTACATACAAAAGATGATGTTGGAAAATTGGTATGTATGTACAAATTTTGGCTCCTTGATGGGGAAACGGGACCTGAGTCTTAGGGTCCAATCAGAACCAAGCCTCTCCAGCGCCTTCAATTATGACATTTGAAACAAGGACAGTCAGCATCAGTGGATCTCCTAATGCCAGATTCTAATACTCATTATTTAGTAGTACCAAACCTCCGCAGAGTTTGGATAGCATAGTCGGTATAGCAACTAGCTATGGGTTGGGAAACCGTGGGATCATAGGTTTGAGTCCCGGTAGAGTCAAGAATTTTCTCTTTTCCAAGTTGTCGAGACCGGCTGTGAGGTTCACCGAACCTTCTATCCATCCAATGGGTACTGGGGCCCCTTTCCCCGGGGGTAAAACGGCTGGGGCATTAACCTGACCAGACACCTCCAGCTAGTGCCGAGGTCAAGAAAATGTGGATCTATACATCCATTCCCCAATACGCCTTCATGGCGTAGTGCTTAATTAGTTAAGCACAGGGGCTTTACCTTAGCTTATTGAAAACTTCAGAAGGCAGCTCATTGATAAATACCTGTTAACGGGATATTATTGCAGTCAGTGTGCATACGCAAATCTGTAATGTCATTTAGGTTCTACGCGTAAGTATCGTCTGTATTTTTGTATTCATTTCAAGTGAATACGAACGGTACGGGCAGCCATAACCAGGGCTTAGAATAAGTCGCCACTTTCATCTCACGCCATAAGAATGCAGAAATGATCAGCAGTCATCCCATAAATAAAACCACAAACCTGACTTTGACAACAAGAGCCTTCAGATTACATAGCTGATGTGTAGATAGAACATTCCGACTGCAGGTGTCGTGGAGGTCTTACGGTGTTGAGTCACCAGGATACACGGCTTCGAAAGTAGTTCCTAATTATTTAAGTGCTGTCCTTAGCGCGAAGTAATTTATTTTTGTGGAAAGCATACTTTTATAATCAATGAAAACATTTTTAGAAATTTTACCTTTCAGTCCTGATAGTTCTGACAGAAATTTGAACGACAGTGCGAAGGAATACCGTTGGGTTAATAACACTGTATCTAATGAAGTTGGTTTGGAGGCGTCTTATTCTCTGGCGGTGTCGTGGAGAGAGAAATTTTTGGTTTTAATTCAGTGTCGTTTTTTATATTTACACATTTTAAATTAGGACCAATTTAGGTACTTGTAGCACGTAAGTGCCATTATCTTTATTGCTGATAGTAAATTTAAGAGTGAGTCTAATAGGACAGAAGGCCGGTTTAGACGCGGCGAGGAAGGTTATCGAGATTGATTGACGTAGGCAGGCGTTTCCTTCGGTTGATCTGGCTAATATACATGCTGACTGACTTCTTTAAAATTCGTTGGTTATATTTCTGATATTTGTTACAACATACTTTACTACTAAAACTTGGTATTGCACTCAAGTACCTTGTTACGTGTTGCGTATTTTAAAACTTTGACGTAAGTTTTCATTGGTGATTACAGAAATCATGCTGAAGTTTATACGAGGGAAGGGGCAGCAACCTTCAGCAGAGCGCCAGAAATTACAGAGGGAGTTGTTTGCCTTTAGAAAGGTAAGCTGAGGAGTACTTGCATTTTAATTTTAGTTTGATGGGCGTTCAGAGACACTGATTATGTATTTAATCTTGCTGTTAAAGGGACCTTATCTTCTTTTCATTAAATGATCATGACTTTTAAATTGGTGCATGTATCTTGAACATCATCCATAATAGGGAATAGCAGTATTGGGTTTGGATTCTGTGTTTTAGTTATGAAGCACTGTTATAGTTAAGCTGCTTATGTTAGGTTATGTTACAAACTTATTTGGAAATGAAGCTTGTTATACATAATCATATATTCATTCGTGAACCAAAATAACGACCATACCTGCATATGCATAGCGATTATGCATAATAATATTTGTCAGATTTGAACGGTAATTATAATTCTCACCTTTTTCAGTAGAGTGAGTCAGAAAATAATTGTGTTAATAACAAGAAACTTTAAAGAATGTAGTTAGGTAACACTGGTTCAGTTTTCATGCATTCCATGTTCCACTTTTATGGTACTCTGTGAGTAAAGTTTAATGTTCCTTCTGGAGGACATAATACAGTGATTACTTTTGTGTCCTTCTTATGTGATATTTTTTATGTATTTCTGTTATTGATATGTGTGTAGTTGTATTTTGTGGTTTTGTAAGAACAATTTTAAAATTAAAGGTATATAAATAATTGCTGTGAGGCTTAACCTGTGCTCTTGTCATTATTCACTCTACATGGGGCAGTGTATGCACATAATAGTATTATATGTTTATTTCATCATGGAGACTGATAGCAGGAGGTTACTAGGTGCAACAGGGACAGTTTTACACTGTTGTTTTGCCCTTTTTATGAGAGGAAGGGCTCTGGCTCTCCATGTCATCTTTAAACTATGAGGGTGACAGAATAAATATAATCATCTACAGAAATTTTGAGTATTTGGTTGGTGGTTTGGAGTGCCAAGTCTGTAATAAGAATGTGAGGTCTTTAAATGATATGAGGGCTTCCATTGGCAGTGATGAAACTACAGGTTTGTTTTATTATATTTTCAGATGTTACCACTGCTTTTTGTTTATATTTTCAGTCTGTAGTAGCAGTTTATTGTACTGCACTAAGTTCATGACTCATATAAGAGGTTCTAAATTGGATTTGAGGTTCACACAGTGGAGACTATGGAGAGTACAGTCTTCTGGGTTGTGACTCCTTGTTGAAGAGTAAGCCAAGAAACCAACAGAAGAAGTGTAAAGCTTCGAGAACCATGTATTGAAAAATAGGCCTGATACAGGTCACAAGGAACTGTGAGAGAGCCAATAGAAGAGTGACCATTGTCATAAGTGGACTCAGAGAGATCCACTGGGAGCACCTTCCTGAAGGAATGCAAAAGGCCTTGTTCTTTGTGGTGTTTTTTTTTTTCTCAGGCCTTTTGGCCCTTGCAGCCACCCTTTTCAGGGAGTGGACTGCTCATTTTCAGGACATTGATACTCCTCATGTCTTTGGCTGCTTCTGCAGCAGACTATTCCTTCAGTATGCTTGGTCTTTTTTCTTTCCTTTTGCTTGTATTTCTTCCACATGACATTCTCTCTAGATGTTCATTTGGCTTCTTTCTACATCTGCCTACACTGAGCATGCAGCTGGCCCTCTTCAGGGCTAAATCAAGACTCAGTTTCCTTTGCTTCCTTTGGCTGCCTCCAAGTCCCGTTACAAAACCTATTCACCGTTACATTGGCTCTGTCACATTTCCTTTCAAGTTTGGCCTGATCAGGCTGGATTTTCCAAGGGCAGTTTGCTCAACCTGCTGCCTACTTCTCTTAGTTTCTCACTTGACTTACTTTTCAACTCAGAAATTGGAGGGGATCTATTTCTCTGGAATGTCCGGCTTTCTCTGAATTGCGTAATGTTACAAACCAGAACACTGTCGTATTCAGGGGGTTTTAAATATTTGGGAAGTAAAACAGTGAAACACTGAAAATTGCAAAAAGGAATTACAGAAAGAATAAAACTTGCAAGAAAATTTTACCAGGTAGGAATGATATGTTTATTTAAAAATTACTGCAGGCTTTTGGATCTACTGAATTTATTCCACATTCGCTCTTACAGTTACATAATTTACAATGCCACAACTACTGCCATCTTCAGTATCCAAATTACTTCTCCTGCTGTAGTCACTTCCATGCACTCAATGCAACTCAACTCGGCAACTGCTGGACTTCCACTGCACTCGGCGACTGTGGACTTCACCTCATCTGTCTGGCTTCACAATCCACCCTCTCGCACACGTGCCGCTCAGCCGGCCTCTTATACTGTTCTCTGTTGCCACGTAGTAGCCGCGGTGTCTCCAGTTACCTCACTGTGGGAAGTGCTGGTACGTCACTGTAGGGGAAGGGAGCGGAGTGTTTACTGGTCCTGTTACCATAGTAGTGGCAGCAACTCCCATGAGGTTACATCACCGCGACAGTGGTTGCCTGACACAGCTGCTCTGCTGTTACGTCACCGCTGGGGGGGGGGGGCCGGCATAGCGCAAATATACTATGGAAGGAAAAAAAATTCGTATTCATATTTAATGTGTCTTCCAGAGATTCATGTACATAGATGTAGAATCTGTCATCATTTATACTAGATAACAAAATAATAAGATATTTGATCATACAATATAAATCTGATTGGATGTCACAAAGTATAAAACATACATATGCATCTATGATAGGCCACGTATAATCTATCACTCACTATGCAAGGTAACATTGTAATAAAACAATTGATTGTACAGTGTAAATCTGTCTGTATATCCATTTCACACTAACAATTATTTATGTACAAAATATAAAACATGCAGATACATATACAATAGGCCACATATATAATATCACTCTTATCATCATAGTACTTGGCTTAATTATGAAATCTTACTGTTTTAATCCTTTTTCTAGTCATGTTTCAATTAAAAATTCCTCAATTGTATAAAAGGAATTCTGTAATAGGAATGTTGTCAACTTAGATTTAAACTCTTTGTGTCATTAAACATAGACTTAATTTCATTCAGCAGATGGTTGAAGATCTTTACTCTTTACTCCCATATAGGATATTCCTTTTTGGAATAGTGTGAAGTTATTTTGGGGCTATTACTGATCATAAATAGATCTGGTAGAATTTAAAGATAAATACATTGGAAAGTAAATTAATAAATAACAGGCTATAATGGTATGTCCCATTTTAAGAATGAATGAAGAAAGGATCCTAAATAAGATTTTGAACATAAAAATGATAGGAAAACTACAAAAGAGGAACACCAAGGTGAAGATAGGAACAGATAAGAAAGATGTGCCAAAGGGAGGAAGGAAAGTTACAGGAGGAGCTTTGAGAAGATAGAGGAAGATGGAGAGGATTGTTATTGTTAAATGACCCTATAAAAGAGGAAACACTGAAGGAAGAAGAAAAAACAGTGGTAGTTAGTTGGGAAAATTAAGCAGTAATAATTTTTACAGTTTTAAGTGACTGCTTGGAACAAAACCTTTGATCATCTGTTGGACACTGCTAGTTAAAAAATTCCTTGCCTTTTGTGAAATCTGAATGTTCAGTTTAATGTGCACAACATATGTGACCATATCCTGATATGTGTGATGTAATTACTTGTGTAAATTTGCTATTTTATTGATATTATAGTAAGATACTGTATCTTACTCTGTATGTTGGTTAGTGTGGCAAGTTGATTGATAAACTTCTCATGTTGGCAAAAGTATTGCAACATTGTGTACATATGATAACATGAGGTGTGCCTTTGATGTTGAGATTTCACCAGAGAAGTACAGTCAAGTACAATATTTAGGTAAACTGAATATAAAGTACTAGTTTTTCTCAGTTTCTCCATGCAAATACTGGGATGGCACCTTAAAATAGGTCATAACTGCTTTTTTCCACACCCTTCTTAGTTCATCATTCACAAAATGTCCAGTCATTTGATCCTGTATTACCAACACATTTATTTATTTCGTCTCTATAGATCATTGTTACATGATATAGGACAGGTCAGTTACTCTACATTGGCTGATTACAATAAGAGAATAAAGTTACAGTACTAAAATTGTTTACAATAGATTACAGTAGATTACAATAGTTAAAATTTCACATAGTGTGAGGTGGAATCCATATTAGGTCCCCTTGGCATGTCGGCTTCCATATGTACTATTGATGAGCCATTGCAAGTAAAATAGTCTTTGGTGAAATATGTTTGAGGTTTTGTGGATTCTCCTGAGTTGTTGTGTCTTTTTATGGATCGGTGTGATAATATCAAATTTAATAAGTTTCAGGTTGTGTGGATTTTTTGTGTTCCTTTTATTTTTTTCGGTGATTTTTGAAATCATCTTTTTCCTGTGTTCTGAATGAATGTCCAAAATCTTATTGAGAATTTGTGAATTTATATTAATTTTATATGTCTGGTAAAGTAGCATTTTGAATAACTGGAGATTCGTAACCCATGTTTACTGGTACAGATTATTTATGGTTAAATGGTAAGCCGGTGAAATTTATGTTGTACATTTTTTATTAAATAGCCCCACAGTTTCATGTTTTATGGTTCTGTGAATGTGATACACTAATCCTCTACAGTTCCAGTTCACTCTTTTAGATAAGTCAACTTGAGCTGTCAGCTACATACATTTATTTATTTATTTATTCACTTCACATCCATGGATCATTATACATGACATAGGACAAGTCAAGCATTTCTGTATATATATCATCGTCCTTTAGCTCCCACTGGAACTTAGGGCATTAACTAAGTGTCGCCATCTCACACGGTTCTTGTTGAGTTGCATAATTTGTCCCCATGTCTTCCCAGCAGCTAAGGCCTACTCTTGATTTCTGTTATTAATTTGTCAGCTTGTTCTCGTTACTGATTTTTTTATATGAGGACCTTCTGTTACTTTATTCTTTTTTCTGTTTGTTTAAAGTGTTGTTATGGTATGAAGTTAAAATTCTATTTTAATAATAAATTATACTTTTGTTCCAGACAGTACAGCATGGATTCCCACATAAACCTACAGCGTTGGCTTGGGATCCTGCCCTGCGGTTACTGGCCATTGGGACGGCTACAGGCTCTGTCAAAGTGTATCCTTTTGGTTCTTCTACCAATTTTTATCGTTCACGTCAGGTATTTGACGAGAGCTGGAAAAGAATTTTTAAGCATATTTTGATCTCTTTCATTTTCGTGTTTTCACAGTTCAAAATGTAAAGATTACGTGTGTTTCCAAGAAATAGTAGTTCAACCAAGGAAAGTATGAAGATTAAAATTTGCAGTTACAGTGGGGAACCGTAGCGTAGTGGTTGAGAGGCTATGCTACAAGCCGGAAGGTCGCGGGTTCAAGTCCGGATGAGGTCATTGGATTCTTTTCAGTTGACCTAATCCTTCCAGCCACACTAGGCCCTGGGGTTAACTCAGCCTCTAACAGAAATGAATACCAGGAATTAATTAAATAATTTTCCTGGGGAGTAAAGCACAGCCGGTGCATAAGGCTGACAACCTTACCGCCATTTTTGAGCCGATTGTCTAGATAGTGTGGGACCCTCAACGTCTCACAGCCCTATGGGCCTTCACGGCCTGGTACGGGGATAGCTTTATTTTTTACTTTACTTACTTTACAGTGGGAAAGTTCTGAACACAATATATTTAAATTGTTTTCTTGGTTATGCTGCCATGTAGTCTTATAGGTGGTTGCGAACACTTTGAGGAACCCTTGTGCCTCCATCTAAGGGTAGGAGGTGTGGATAGCTTGTATGAGAAGGGTTTACCTAGAGCATGGTAGAAAGTGGAGCAGGAACTGGCCGAATGGTGTATCGATCTTAAAAAGAGGAATTGCCCAAGGGAATGGGGATTGGAGAGGCCCTGATAAAGACATTTCAAAGAAGTCCCTAAATGGGGGGTTACATTGAAATTGGCAGATATGTAAACTCTTGTTATTTTGTAAGAGACATAAATTTTTATCTTAGAAAGTACATACACGACTTAAGTTTCTGTATACTGAAAATTGGGAAGCACGTTATGTTGGATTCTCATATGTTTGTTTGTGTGTGTGTGTGTGAGAGAGAGAGAGAGAGATATATACTTTAAGATATTAATTAATATTCCACATAACAGAGGAACAACAACAGAGTGCTTTCTCCAGTAGAGATTAACTTGTATACAAGCACGAAATTAAGTGTTCCTGGTGACTACATAGAACTTGACCACATAGCTGGGGTGCATGCGTGTTTCCTAATTGAAGAATCGTTTTTTTTCATAATGTCCTGAAGTTATTTGTTATCTTTGTCAGTTTGATGTCCATTGTAAGATTTAATGAAGGCAAATTTGTATTTGATTTTGTGTCGTTTCTTGAGGAATGTTATTGAAATTCATAACAGTTTCAAGAATATTATTGATATAAACTGAATTATTTTCCTTAAGCATTTGCATAGATTTGGCAAACCAGGTGTGGAGTTTTATGGCCAGCACACTAACCATGACTCTTCTGTGACACAACTTGTCTTCCTGCCCAATGAAGTGAGTCATAATCGAAACATTCTGTAAACTGCAGAATTCTGTGTTCGTAACAGATCTTGAAAACATCTTGTAGGATAGCTTAATTTTTTATGGGATACTAATTTAAAATATTATGCTTTTTATTTTTGTAATATGTTTTGACATCAATTTTGTATGAAATCTCTTCTGAACCAGAACCAGGAAATGATTCTGCTGTTGTTTCCAAATATAATTACATTTTGTGTACTACTGCTATGACTGCTGCTACTACTACTAGCACTACTACTTCAATTTTTGTTATTTTATTATTATCATCATCATCATCTCTTGTCACAGGTTTATTTCCTGGTATTCCTTTTCTTGAACCAGTGATGCACCTCACCACTCAGTCTTCAAGCTTCGCACTGTAGCACTTTCCGTAGTATGTGTGATGTTCCCTGGATAGCTGTTTTTTGCAGTGAATCTATGGAGTGCTTACCAGGAATTAGTTCCAAATATTTTCTCAACCCTCTCATAACTGTACCCGTGGCTCCAGTAATTACTGGTATCACAAAACATTTCATGTTCCACGTTCGCTGAATTTCGATGCTTAAATTTTTATATTTTAATTTCTTCTCTGCTTCTTTTTGTACTACATTCCTGTCCGATTCTACTGGTACATCTATGAGTATGCAAGTTTTCTTTTGCTTGTTTTTAATTATTATGTCTGGCCTGTTTGCCAGAACCTCTCTGTCTGTTTGTACGCCTTGTTTCCATAACACGGTTATATCCTCATGTTCACATACTGACTTAGGCACGTGTACCAGTTGTCTGGTACTTCAATTCCAAATTCTTTACATATTGAGTAATGTAAATGCATGCAAACTTTATCATGCCTTACTATATATTTGTTCTTCGCCAAAACGGGACATCCTGATGTTAAATGGTCTATAGTTTCTTCGTATTCTTTACACAGTCAACATTTACTTCCAATCTCTTCTTTCAATATTTTTCTCTTAAAATAGTTGGTACTGATTGCTTGGTCCTGAGCTGCTACGATTAAGCTTTCTGTTTCCCCTTTAATGCCTCCAAATTTCAACCATCGATAGGTCTGTTCCTTATCCACCAGAGTGTCATCTAAGCTGTGTGGGTATTGTCCGTGCATTCTTTTCTTTTCCCATTTTTCTTTTGTGTTCTGAGCTATTGCCTTTTTTTGTAAAAATTTCGTGTACTTGCAGGCTGTGTTTGGTGAAGAACTTGTGTTGCGTTGGTGTGTCCTAACAATTTTCATCAGTTGATCTTCTGTTCCTTCTATATATTCTGCTAGGTTTGTGGGTTTTGCCACGTAAGCCGCCTCTATCTGTATCAGGCCTCGTCCTCCCCCTTTTCTAGGAACATACAGACGGTCTATATCTGCTCTTGGGTGATGCTGTCCATAGGTAGTTAACATTTTTCTTGTTTTCCTATTTATTATTATTATTATTATTATTATTATTGCTGCTGCTGCTGCTAAAATTAGAGTAATATTTTATGACCATTGTTAACCTGTAGTGAAAGTCCAGAATTTGTGTTTTGTAAGCAAAAGAGTGAATGATAGTGTTTATTTTGTCCAAGCCTAACACTGCAGAGTATCGGGGTTTTATAAATTGTTTTAGGGCCGCATTGTCTCACTGTGTGACGATAACTCACTGCACCTGTGGGAAATAAATGAAGGTTGCCTTGAAGAAGTGAAATCTCAGGCACTGGAAGGAAAGTAAGTATGGTACTTTTGCTGTATCATTCTTTTCTTTTTTGGGTGGGGTGGGGGTGTTGTTCTGTTCACTGCATCATAGTTCAAAGTGCAGCCTCTTACTGAAAGTTTAGAGATATTTGATCCAGAACAAAGTTCATTAGATTCAGACTGCGAAAGTAAAAATTCTGTGCATGATTACAAGGTAACTGACACTGGTGATTGAAGAAGATAGTGATGAAGGGCAGCAACTGGTGGCAGTGATAGAGATTTCATTGGAATGCATGTCAAATTATAGAACATAGAAGGAATTTCTCACACGTGGGTTTTGCTAAAGGTTGCAGCAAGGGAGACATACGGCATTTTGGAATTATAATTTATTCAGTAACGCTACCGATAAGTCAGACTGTATAGCATCACTTCATTGGATGTTAGTGAATAATGAATTGGAGTGGATGTGGAAGGAAGTGTCTGTGTCCCGATTTTAAGGTACTATCATGGCATTTACCTGGAGGGACTGAGGAAATTGGTGAAAACCTCAGGACAATTGTTCCAGCTGAGGTTTGAACTGGGCACCTCCTAAATGTGAGTCAGAAGTATTACCACCTGAACCAACTTTTTCAACAGGGAATTTTTGAAGATATAGTAAATGAGACCTACCATTACGCAAAGCAATATAAGTGGGGGGCTCATGTTCAGACAAATATTTATTGTGGCTTTGGAAACCGGTGATTGGATAACATTTATGTTGTGGTTATTTATATACTAATGGCAGAGTTGCTTCATGGGTCGAGTGAGGATTACCACATCAAATTGAATTTCTGAAGTAAAGTAAATAAAATCCTCATACGCATGGTTTGAAAGTGTCGTGGAGACAGTATACAGTGAAAACTTCGTTGGTGGTGAATCACATCAATGAGGAGTTGTGTCTGACATTTCAGAGACTCTATCTCTATCATCAGGGATTAATGGAATGAGTGTTAAAATGCTGTATTTATACAACAAATGCTGCTGTTGGTCCCAACCCAGACAGCACATGGGGATAGTGGGTGCAGTCTGGTAGTCACTGATCTCCTGTCTCAGCATGGATCATGTGGAGGAACACTTGGTCGGTCATGTGAATTAATCTGATAATTGATCAGCTGTTCGACTATTTCTGCTGAGACTGGACATCCACACACCAATTCCAGTGTGGTCCAGGTTGGGATTGCAACAGCTCCTTGCAGAAATATAATGTATGAATGTAGCACTCATCACATCAACCCCCAATAGTGGAGACATAGTTCCTCAAATAGTGGACACTAGTGGCACATTGACACAGCAGGCCACCCAAGGAGACTTCTTGTACATCCTTGTATTCTGCAACTTATGTAAGATTTATCTACAGAACTTGATTAACATCCTAGGATGTTGTCATACCTCTAAACATATGAATCATCATCATCATCATCATCATCATCATCATCAGGTTGTGAGACGTTAATGATTCATGGTAGTCCCAGCATGCATTCTTTGTGAATTTAAAGCCACATCTCCACCTCAGGTTATTTAGGTCTGTTTAAATTCTTTCCTTTTCTGGTGACAGATTGAAGAAGATCTCAGCTGTGTGCCTGGAATCAGCATGTGAACATTTGTTACTGGGGACAGAGGGTGGTAACATATACCTCCTGAACCTCAAGACTTTTGAGATGGCTGACACTATTATTTACCAAGATGTTGTAATGCAAAAGTAAGTATAATAGAGTGGACCAATATTTTGCTTCACATTCACAGAATCTACAGGCAGTCTTACTTGTGCAGGACCTTAAAATTAGGAGTATTGTTAATATGATCATAAAACGGTTACACAATGTTCCAAAAGGAGTATCTCATATTTATGTAGAGTTCTTGGTAGATTTTAATTTTGAAATTTATTTAGTAGTGCTTTCTTAACTTTATTCATTTATGTACAGTGGTGTGAGATGGTAGAACGATTTTCAAAGAGGCACTGATGTAGGGCAGTTTTACTAAAATTTGCTGCCCCATTCCAATTTTTGGTTAAAGTCAGACAAAGGTAACAACATTTTACCTAAAGAATTTTGTGCCTTTCAATGCATATTTCAACCACAACTCGCAAAATATTTATTCATGTTTTCACACACAAGTTGCTGAGAAAAATGAAATACATTTTATGCCCATTCCACATTTTCTGTAAATCTAATGATTTTTCAGACAGTTGAACAAAAGGGATTTTAATGCTGTAATTTCTTAACACAAGGACTGCTTGATTGATTTGAGTGAGGAGATTCTTGCACACATTTGTTGGACCATCTAAAATTTCACAAGGACTGGTGGCATAGATGGGTTTTTCTTTCTTTATTTACTTTTGCATAAAGGTCTCAGAATGGATTCATAGACTGCAAAGTGTTTATCTTTCTTTATTTCCTTCTTTTACATAAGAACCTATATAGATCATAGAGTTTCTAATTAAAATGTTCACCTAACTTTTCAAAAGGCTTGTTTCAGTATATTTCACACAAGTAGCAGTGGTATAAACAGATGAATAAAATAGAAAGGAGTGCCCTGGTTGAGATCCAGACCCCTATTTCCTATGCGAGATGCCATGATGACCACTACACCTGTTGAACATGAGTTTTTGGGAATGTATATTCATATTCTTTCATGGCCTGTTTGACTGAAAATTGCAATGGTTTTGGGATGCAATTAAAAGTTGCAAAAGACTGTCCTACAGATGGCCAACAATATAGTATACATAGTCTGTTTACTGCGTTCTTTCTAATGGTGGTAAAGGCACAGTTGGTGTCTTAAGTAATCTTATTCAATATTGTGCTAAATTTTTTATTTTTAGTTCACATGATACCAGCCCTTATGTGTTCCATTACGTAAGGAGCAAGAAGTATTAGAATTTTTTTAGTGTTTTTGCTTGAAGTCAGTTTTGTGCTATTTATCAGTAAAAAAGTGAAAAAAGTAAAGCTATCCCTGTACCAGGCTGTGAAGGCCCATAGGGTTGTGAGACGTTGAGGGTCCCACATTATTTAGACAATTGACTCAAAGATGGATGGTAATGTTGTCAGCCTTATGCACCGGCCGCGCTTTACTTCCCAGGAAAATTATTTAATTAATTCCTGATACTCATATCTGTTAGAGGCTGAGTGAACCCCAGGACCATAGTGCGGCTGGAAGGATTAGGTCAATTGAAAAAATCCAGTGACCTCATTGGGGCTTGAACCTGCGACCTTCCGGCTTGTAGCATAGCCCCTCAACCAACGGTGTCAAATGTTTGTGTTAATGAATGGAAAATCTTGAGGCTATAGCAGAGTGCACGTACAAAAATTACTAGGCAATGCGTACATTTTGTAACTCAAAGAATTCTGCCATTGAGATGGAATGTTCTGTAGTTTGGTAAATGTCATTTATCTTTTACCAGATTGCACAGTGTTACATCCCAGAGGATAAATCCCTTTGTAGTCACTGCTGTGAAAACCTGAAGTCTTAACATATTATGGTGCAGTGTGGTTTGGTCTTTGAAAAGTGGTTTGAACATAGGAAATAGGAAAATGCTAACTCATTGATTGTTAAATCATAATTTCACCATCCACTTACATTAATAATTTCCATTGAAATGGTTTTTGTCCTCATATAAGTGACAAATCATAAGTACCACATAGAGTTCACATAATATACATGAATTTCTGTCTGTTTGCATGATGAGAAATGTAAGTTTTTAAGAAAATGGTTCAAACTTGTTGGTTTCTGTCAATACAGTGTACCTGAAGACTACAAAATCAACCCAGGTGCTGTGGAAGCAATAGCTGAGCAACCAGGCAACCCAGACAGGATTCTAATTGGTTACAATCGTGGCCTCATGGTCCTTTGGGATCGCAAGACCCCTGGAGCTGAGCAGGTACTCTGATGTTATGTAGTGATTTCTTTTTGCAGAAATAATCAGTATGACTCTCTACCAAAAGTCATTTTGTTATATTAAAGGTTTTTAATCGGTGAACATAGCAGAATATTTTTTAATAAAAAATATATAGCCTTCTTACTTATAAGAATCTAATTTTCATATTTCAGTTTGAAATAAAAATTTAAAAATTGAAGTCGCTGTTTATGTCACTCTGTTATGAAACATTTATTAAAAGGATTCGTATTACAGAACCTCTTCAAGTGATAAAGCATTATAAATAAAAAAACACTGAGGTGTTTGGAAACAGGGTGCTGAGGAGAATGTTTGGACCCAAGAAAAAGGAAGGAACATGAGGCTGATGGAAATGATGTAATGAGCTGCTTTTTAATTATATATTTGGGAAATAATTATTGCCATAGAAGATAATAAAAATCAGAAACTAGTTGGGGACGAAGTGAGTACTGCATTGTAGCTTTTGCCCTATTTTGAATTTGGGTAGATATACTGTGTGATTTTAAGTGTGATTAGCTCTCTCTTAGTATTACTTGAGAAGCATTATATTATATTTACTATGTTAAAGCTGGCCCTGTACTTAATTAAGAACCATCTTCTTGCCCCTGGTGAGAGAGGCCCTGGTACTCATTGTATAGGAGTTTGGGAGAGCCCCAGAGCCATGTGGATGCTGTGGAGAAGAGAAAAATCTCTTGCCTCTGCTGGGAATCAGACCCCGGTCATCCATCCTGTTGCCTGTTGCTATATCAGCTGAACTTCTCTGTTTAGCACATTATATGTTTTATGTGCTTATTGCAGACTTATATAAGTACACAGCAGTTGGAGAGTGTTTGCTGGCACAAATCAGGTTCCCGGTTTGCATCATCTCACAATGACGGCAGCTACGCAATCTGGGATGCTAGTGTTGGGGAGCGTCCCTCTGAAGAACCAACAACTGTGTATGGTCCATTTCCTTGTAAAGCAGTCACCAAACTTCTTTGGAGGCATGCCAAGAAGTAAGTGATACAATGTAATGTCTTCAGCTGTTTCATATTGTAGTATAGTCGAAGTTAGTGGAATTGAAAGTGTCTTGGCAATTCAAATGTAAAGCATATAATAGTGACAGCTCGTTGGAACAAGTTGGCTCACCACCAGTATAGCTGACTTGATTGATTAATGGGATTAAAGTTGATTCATTCACTTGTTATTTGCGACTTGTGTTCAGAAAGTACTTCTTTAGATCTTTTTGGCCTTTGTCAATTCTTCGAGTCAAATGCTTGAGGAATACTTTGAAATACCTCATGACTGCTGCTTTCCAGTCCTTTACATTTCACTATATGTAATTCTTTCATTGCTATTATTAAAACCCTTTCTACTTGATATAAAATTGTTAAGTGATACAACAGTGAAAATTAAATTGTAGCACATAACATAGCAACATTGTGTCAAGCTTGTATACACATTTGGAAGTTAGGTTATCTAAAGCAAAATCTGCTTTCAATTTTATATTGTCACGTGATAGTGTGTTACTATAGATGAAAGCGGCCTCCGTAGTCTAGAGGTAATGTTCCCACCTCATGACTCGTGGTACGCGGGTTCAAATACCCGGCGGAGGTTGTCGAATTTTTGAGGGCGGAAAAATTCAGGGAACAAGTCCTCCGGGAGGGACTTTAAGCTGTGTGTCCCATGTCGTAACTTTATGGCACGTAAAAGAACCTCATCCCCAAAGGGGGTCACTGAGCCAAATTCCAGGACGATTCCCGCCCAACAATAATCTCTAACGCCTCTGATAGATAAGGGAAGCATTATAGACACCACTAAGCAAGTGGCCGAACTCGCTTGCTTGGCGTGACTGATGGTATGCATCATTTATCGGTAGGGTAAAGAGACTGGTAGAATATCATAGAGGAAAGCACAGTAGATCAAACTGGTCGCGGTGCATGGGGAAACCCACCCTCTCTAAATAACTAACTTACTACTATAGATGAGGTATGGATTGGAGCTTGGATTTATCGACAGCTTCAACGCTTAATTATAGCGCCAATGCTGATCTTCACGCTTTACAAATTACTACAGCACACGCTAAGCCTTCTCAGTCTGCTTTCATTAGCTGTTTCCCAGTAACAGATCTTAACAATGGAGATTATTATTATTATTATTATTAGAGGGGGTGGGTTTCCCCATGCACTTAGACCAGTTATTGGTCCATTGTGCGTCCCCCTTTAATTTCTACTGTCGCCATACCCTACCGGTACTGGTGCGTCCTATCAGCCCCGTTCAGCCAACGAGGTCAGCCCTTGGTACCTGATATTTCCCCCCTCTACCAGAGGCATTGGAAACTATTTGGGTGGGAAATGTGTTGCCTAATTTTGCTCAGAGGTCTCCTAGAGACATGACGATCTTTTATGTGCCGTAAATCTACAACAAGGGACCCACGGCTTAAAGTCCCTCCCGGAGGACTTATTCCCTGAATTTTTCCGCCCTTAAAAATTCCACGACCTCTGCCTGTTTTGAACCCGCGTACCTTGAGTCATGAGGTGGGAACGTTACCCCTAGACTAACAATGGAGATTCTTCAGCTTCTGTGCTCACATCATTATTGTTTGGCAAATATCCCACAACTCTTGAACTCTTGCTCCAATTGTCATTCTTATAACATCTTGGCATGGACTGTGTAGAAAACACTATTTCCAACAGTTCCTTTGTTGCATGTGGACTTGTTGCCATGGGAACCTGTTTCTTTGTGAAGGCGTTACTCAGTAATGGCTGCTTATATCTGCTTATTAAGAATCTGTTGCCTAGCAGTAGGTGTTGTTTCGTTGTTTGTTTTGCAGTTACCCAGTAACGGGTCCATGTTCTACTCTTTTAGGTCCATAATTTGATATATGAATTAGAGATTTTCATTCCTACTGTTCCTATTTGTATGTGTGTTTGTGTGTCCTACTGATATGATCTTGAAGAACTCACAAATGTCAGTACTGTGATAACTTGCAGCCTGAATAGCTCACTTATTAAAGCAACAGGTTTGATTCTTGGCAAGAACATGTCCCTTCCTTCAACACAATGTGCAGACCATCTCACCCCGCCCACTATGCGAAGAGTACCATGAATACTGTTCATGGAGATAAAGCAGTTACCGACCTCCATGTAGTTGCTGAATGTAGAATGTGTGTAAGGTACCCACTACATTTGTTTATTGTGTGGCGGTTTAAGTGAAGGGCCAACTGTATAAAAGTTAATGAGAGTTAATACCTTATGTAGTGCAATACTAAATTATACACTCAAAAAATAAATTAGACTATTGGATCAGGTTGCCACTGTTGTGTGACATTGACAAAGATTTGCCTCTGTTTCAAGATATTTTGCTTTCGGCCCATTAAAGGCACACTGACAGACTTAAATTGCTTTACAACATAAATTATTTCTTTTTTCTACAGTTTCTTATACTGATTTTACTGATATATTTCCTACCAACAGCATGAATTTTTATTTTTTTCTGCCTCTAAATTAGTTTGTTTTTCATTGATCATGAAAGATACTGAAAAAACACCTTTAATTCTGATGTTTATCTGAACATGCGCACAGTTCATCACAGTGAATGTCTGCTTGTACATTGCTGCTCCGTGTTAGTGCAGAAAAGGAAGACGTAGCTATGGGAGGTAAAATGTTGGTTTGAATGAGTAGTGGTTCCTGTCTGATCATGAACAGTTTGCACACACCAGTTTCAGATATGTGTGTTTTGTAGAAAGAAGGTGCCCAGGATATGCAAGAAAATGTGGTAGATCTTTAAGTTGTATTCCATGATAAAATATGCCGACAGATTAGTTTTGCCCTGCAACTTCCAAGTTTTGTAATTTTGGATGTTACGATTACTTGTTTGTGTTTTAGGGATGACTACATGGTGTTTGCTGGTGGTATGCCCCGTGCCAGCTATAGTGACCGCCACACAATTACTGTCCAACATGGCAAGCGTCATGTTGTGTTCGACTTCACCTCCAAAGTCATTGACTTCTTCACAGTTGCTATTGACCCAGATGACAGGGGTGAGTATTTTCATGAAATTAATATTAAAGCTCTAAGAAGAAAGCTTGATATATGTTTCCTTCAAACATACTGTACTGATATATTTGCAAGTGTAAATTTTGAAAGAGTTTTGTGTAAAAATTGTTAATTTCTGCTTTTGATCCTCTGGATGATCCAGACATATCAGTTACTGCTCGTGGTATCACCATCATCACATATTTTCACTAGCATCAAATTTCATTACTGCATAATTTATTTTTGTTTTCATTACTATAGAATTTGATGAGCCAGAAGCTCTGATTGTCCTGCTAGAAGAGGAGCTCTTGGCTATTGACTTACTGGCAGATGATTGGCGCATGTTATCACTGCCATACTTAGTTTCCCTGCATGCCAGTGCAGTGACTTGCTCACAACATATCTCAGGAGTACCTCAGGACCTATGGCAGAATATTATGTTAGCTGGCAAGAAGCAGACACAAGACCTATACTCGGACAGAGTAAGTGTTTATCGCTATGTATAAATTGAGCCTGGCACAATCCAGTAAAGAAGTTCTGTGTGTGAAGTATTTTATAATGAGGTTATATAAAGATATTCCTCCTTTATAGGCATGTTTTATGCAGTATTTAGGAATTTACTATTTGTACTTGTTTCTTTGCCCTCCAGCTGTTACATTTATTTGGGACTGAGCTGTTTGGTGCTACCAATCTTAAAATTTAAAGTCTTAAAAATTTCTCCATATCAAAAGGTGACATTGATATTTATCATCAAAATAAATTGTATTTGCACATTATCATCATTGGCCTTTCTTGCATGGTTACAAGTAAAATAAATATTCCTGTGACACTGTATAGCCCAAGTATGAATGATTTTAGACTTTGGTCCTTTTATCCTTTTCCACCACCTTTGCTGAAAAGAATTGTCAAAAAGAATTTATTGACCTTTTTGTCACCAAGTCTGAAGAAATATTTTACATGTATTTGAAAAAAGAAAAATATATTATTGAAATGAAAAATATGTGTCATCTCGGGCTAACAGGTTATGTAGTATAAATTTTCTTGTGTGTTATTCGAAGACAGTAGTCATAAAATATAAAAGCTGACTTTTAAAGTTTTTGAAACTGACAAGTAATTTTGGAGTCATTGTTGGTTATTGTATAGTAGATGTTTCATTTAAACATATTGTGACATGTCTAACCGTTGCTGGGCAACGGGAAGTGGAACGAATTACCAAGAAGACAGTCCCATGATAAATGGTCAGTTGCCAAGTTATGCAACAGTAAGGAAAGCGGTGTTTCTCATTGCCGTGCCGAGTAGAGCCAAAGTGAGCCGAGCCGAAGCGTGCTGGTTGCTACGCAGCAATAAACAACTCTCGGCAGCATTGTCCAGCAACGCCTGTAAACACGGCGATTATGCAACAGAGAAGCGAGGTGCTTTTTCCGCTGTCCGACTGAGGGTTTATAAGAGGGACTGGAATGCCTAAACAATCAGTTGAAATATAGCAGCAGTCGTGGGAAGAACTGAACATGTGGTTAGAAGATTTGTTGTGATAATCTGTGATAGTGCGTGATAACTGAGAAGTCAGCCAGTGAAGACTTGCCGTGTGATTTCAAGAGTTTATGTGTGCTGTAGTACAGTTATATTGGGAATGTGTGAATCACAGAGACTTGTATAGCTCCCACGTTATAAATACGTGAAGACTGCTGAGGATAGAGTGAATAGAATGGTGTGTAGGGTTTGTAAATTGTGTAAACCCGCAACAGTGTTATAATTAATTGTAGCTATGACTTGTAGGTTGTTAAATAAACCAATTAACAATCCGAACATTGTCTTCAGTAGCAAAAGTCGTTACAATATTTTTGTGACTTGTGAAATTTTGGTAAATATGATCATACATTGAATGTTCATTTTCAGATTTTGCTACAAGTGTGTTTTATTTATTTACTTACTTATTATTGGTAATAACTCAGACTGCGTAGTGTCAGATGATAGAATGATAACGTCTCAGGTGCTCTGTTTTGGTAAAATGCTGTTCACTTACCAGTGTGTTTGAATTTTGTTTGATTTCATATTGTGTGTGTGTTTCAGTCTGTGTGTGTGAAGTTCCATCAGTGTTTTGTTTTCTTTATAGGAGTGGCCAGTAACTGGCGGTAAAATTCTGGGTGATGCAACAGAGGGCGGAGAGAAGGCATCTCGAGAACTGCTACTAACTGGTCATGAAGATGGAACTGTTAGATTTTGGGATGCAAGTGGAATAGCACTTCAGCCTCTTTATAAATTTGGTTCTGCCCAGCTATTTAGTGGTGAAGAGATAGCTATTGAAGGTAGCAATGGAGCTCCTGATGAAGAAGAAGATGAAGATGAATGGCCACCTTTCAGAAAGGTTTGTTCTTTTCATGTATGAGGGAATTTTGTTTGCATTGGTGCATGTCAGATTTATCCAAAACAGTTCATCTTACATTAAAACCCCTGTGCAGAGGTCCTCAATATAAAGTTTTCCTTCATTTAAGGGTCCATTTAAATTATCTGAAGTTAGCATTATATGTGTTATAGCTTGGTATTACTGACATTTCTTTTTTATATTTGATGTTCATATCCGTTTCCTGCAAACTATACCCAAAATATGAGATTTGAGGTTTTCATGCTGATGAATGTTAAGGCTGTGGTTGTTTGGGTTGTATCTCCATGGAGTCTGGTAGAAGGTTACCAGTGTCTTTCTAAAACAACATTTCTACCAGACATCACTCTTGTCATGTCAGAAGTCCACAATCTCCAACATCATATAAGGAAAGAAATCTCGCTGTACATTGATATTAAATAACCCCCTGGAGCACGGCTTTGTTGAGAAGCTGATATGCTTGCTCAGCCAGACAAGAAATTACTTAGTTTAATACCAAGGTTAAATGTGTTTGTGGGGTACTGCCTAAAGCACAGGAATAAGTTGTTTTTCCATTTAATAATTTGTATCAGAGATTGAAGTTTTGCTTGTTCTCTCTACAGATTTTATTGCTCTTTTAGTGGCAGTATTTATTAACAAATTAATCCCATGGAGCTGAGTCCTTTTTGAGAAGTTAGTAAGTGTTCAGTTACTCCAGAAATTCCCAGTGTCTAAATGGAATCCAGTGGTTCATTACAATGATGACAAAGAGCCGTCCACTATTGCCTGTCCTGAACCAGATGAATTCCGCCCATACCTTGCCATCCCCTCTCATCTTGTTTAAGATTATTTTTAATATTATCCTCCCCATTACACTTAGGTCTTCCTACTGATCTCTTCAGGTTCTACTACCAAAACTTTATATGCACTTCTTGCCTTTGCATGCTACATGCCATGTTTACCTTGTCCTACAAGGGTTGACCATACTAATAATACTTGACAAAGAGTACATACGGTAAAGCTCCTCATCTTTTACTCATAGCTTTTCCTGCCTTCTGTTATTTCATCTCCCTAGGGTGCAAATGTTCTTATCAGCACACCGTTCCCAAGGACTGTCAGTCCACATTCTTCCCGTAATGTGAGAGGCCAAGTTTCAGACCCATACAAAATTATGTGTCTGGAGGGAACATAATTTTTCATCATTGTTACACTTACAGGTTGGGGCATTTGACCCCTATTCAGATGACCCTCGATTAGCAGTAAAGAAAGTTGCTCTCTGCCCTATGTCCGGAACACTGGTGGTTGCTGGGACTGCAGGCTCAGTTATTGTTGCCAAAATCAACTCTGATTCTGTTGACAAGGAAGTTGAGGTACTTGACATTCTCATTGTGGCATTTTTATGTGTTAAATTGGTATTGGCAGTGGTAAAATGTAGCTTTGGTGCGTGCTGGAAGGACATCTTTTCTTTGGAGTCCTAGCAAATGTTTCACTACTTACATACCTCCCTCTAAATGAATATTTAACAATGTTTCCCATAATCACTCAGGAATTAATGGTGTGACATGTTTTGTAATGATAAGTAATATTAAGGATATTCTTATGGTTGGTATGCTTTTCTAATGTGGGGTTCATGTTCAGATGTACATTTTGAAGAAAAGAAACTCTTGCCCAATTCATTCGTAAAACCGCTGTTGTTATACAGATAGTAAAGCATTCTGTGTAACAGGCCATGGAGACCTATATGGTTGTGAGACGTTGAGGGCCCCACATTATCTAGACAATTGGCTCACAGATGGCGGTAAGGTTGTCAGCCTTACGCGCCTGGTGCCCTTTGCCCCCCAGGAAGATTCCTGGTACTGATTTCTGTTAGAGGCTGAGTAGACCCCAGGGCCATAGTGCAGCTGGAAGGATTAGGTCAGTTGAAAAAATTCACCTCAATCGAACTTGAACCTACGATCTTCCAGCTTGTAGCATATTGCCTCAATCAACTATGCTACCGTGTGCCTCCATTGTTATACAAATATTAAATTTAATATTGGTGATCTTAAAAGTTGTAAAAGCATGTTTTATCTGTATTTTGAAATTGATCTTGAAATGCTGGCATTATTCTTGCAGCATTTTCTTTACCATGAAATATGTACAATATTTCCATTAAAAATCTTGGTAGTCATTAATTTTGGGTGTTTTCAGGTGACACCAATGAACATAGTTTTAGATCGAGATGGATTTGTTTGGAAGGGCCATGATCAGCTAACTCCACGAGGTGGAACCCTCTCATTTGCTCCAGGATTTCAGCCAAATTCTCTGTTTCAACTGCACCCCCCTGCTGCCATCACAGCCCTTGCATTACATGCAGAATGGGGCCTTGTAGCTGCTGGTACGGCACATGGCCTCGCATTGTTTGACTATATCCGTCGCAAGGGTGTCCTTACAAAGTGTACTCTCAACCCTAATGGTAAGCTATACAAGTACATAATTGTCTTGGGAATTCATATTAGCCATGTGTCATTGGGGTATGTACAAGGGGTCCAACAAAATGTTTTCACTCTTTGATAGTCAATATCTTTGGAACAAAATTACATGTAGTTACAATTCTTGTGCGGTAGTGTAGTGTAATGTTTTCTCAACAGATGGCGAAGGTCACATGAGTCACATGAGTGTCATTTTGCATGCGCGCTGCGAGCAGAAGATAGCACCAACAATGGCTGAAAGGTTGTTCTTTGCCAACGCAAGGCTGTATTGAAGTAGTACTGGAAGTACGAAACCTTTAAAGAGGTACAGTGACAATGGCAGAATGAGTTTGGAACTCAGCCACCAACACATCGAACTATTGCCCATATTTGGAAAAAATTTGAAGCCGATGGTACTGTTCATGATGTGCATAAGCAAAGATATGGGCGACCGCAAATAGTAACAAGTCCAGCTTCCAGTGCTGTGGTGTTGCAACACTGGTCAGGTGTATCTCGATATGCTTCAGTCATTGATTTTCCCTGCCATTCGAGAGCTGTTTGGAGATGAGAGATTTTACCTACAACAAGATGGTGCGCCACCTCACTACCATCGAGATGTCAGGGCGTACTTGGATGGCACTCTACCTGGACGATGGATAGGTCGAAGAGGTGTTACTGAGTACCCACCACGGTCTCCAGACCTAACACCTCTCGACTTCTACCTATGGGGAACCTTGAATAATGAAGTTTATCAGCAAAAGTCATATACACTGAACGCGCTACGAGAAACCATCGAAGCGTCGTGTGCAGCCATCACACCGGACACACTGACAGCCATAGTTCGCTCAGAAGTTTTGCAGCATTGACGTTGTTTAGCCGCTGATAATAGTCACTTCGAACACATACAATGACTCTCTCTCTCTCTCTCTGTGCAAGAATTGTAACTACATGTCATTTTGTTCCAAAGATATTGACTATCAAAGAGTGAGTACACTTTTTTGGACCCCTCTGTAATTTTAAAATACTGCAATGTGGGGTTGTTACATAACACTTCTGCTGAGAAATACCTCTGATCTTGCTGGTATCTGGTGTATATAATTCATTGTATGCTAGAAATTCATAACTAGCCATTATGGAGTAACATCCTTGCAAACAAATGCATTCCCATGGAAATGACTGGATTAACAATAGAAGAGTTGTGTTTTCTGTTAGTCTGTGCCAAGGGGATATCAATAGGACAAGTTTAGAGTTCAATACAGAGAGAGTTGTAGGATATTTGCCAGACAGTAATGAAGTGAGCATGGAAGCTGAAGAATCTCCACAGGTAGAAGCTGTTACCAAAGACACAGACTGAAAAGAGTTAGCATGTGCTGTAGTGATTTGTAAAGTGTGGAAATTAGCGTTATTGTTGTAGTGATTTGTAAAGTGTGGAAATTAGCAATGTTGTTATTGTTGTAGTTATCACCTTGTAAGTTGTCAATAAATCCAATCTTCAATTGAAACCCCATTTATAATCACTCAGAATGGTGACAGTATTGTGTTATTTCTATTTTAAGCATAACATCTATAAAATAGTTTTTCATTATTCCATATATTGGGAGCCAAGATAGCTCAGTTGTATAGTGACACTGTGTGTTGGACAGCCAGGGTTCAATTCCTGATAGGTATCAAAGATTTTTCTGTACTCCATAGTGTCCTCACTGGCTCTGGGACCTACTCCGCCTCCTATCCAGTGGGTTTTGTGGGCTCTTTCCTATGGGGTAAAGCAGCCAGTGCACGAAGCTAACCACTCATTTCCATTTAGTACCAAGATCAAGAATGGTGGAATTATATCTCCACTCTTACATACTGTGTGTCTTCATGGTATGGTGCTTAATTGAGTAAGCACAGAGACTTTACCTCTTTTACCTTTACTTTTGTATTCCTTATGTTGTTACAGATTGTATGGTCGACATTGTTTTCACCTTTTTGTGCCATATGTTATAGATTGTGTGGAAGACATTGGTTTTTGGTCTTTCAAAGATGAAAATAAGTTTAATCAGTATACTACAGAAGCTGCATGTTAATTGTCATCATTGTTAACGTTCAAGATCTGTCTGGAGCAGGGGATGCTCCAATTTCACGTCGCAAGTCGTTCAAAAAGTCATTAAGAGAGTCATTCCGTCGCCTACGGAAAGGAAGGTCCACAAGACAAGCTGACAAAAGAGGGGCTCACAGTACCTCACCCACTGCCGTTACACCCACTGATCCACGGAAGAAGGATGGGTAAGCACTGGATTGTCTGATACTTGATTAAGCTTTGTTTGCAGTCACAGTGCAGTCAGTTTGGTGTGCCTCTGGGAATGTAATGAGTCAAGATTCATGCCAGCTGAGTCTACACATTATTATAAAAGTTAGTGGATGAAAAAACCATTCAGCCCCAGCTACCATGCATACTGGTTAATGAAGTAGTGCATGTGCTTTGGGTTTGAAAACTTCCACTTCAGACCAGTATGTGTGACTAATAACAGCATAAATATGCGATGCAAAATGTAAAGTGTGTCTCAGCTGGACAGAATGTTCACAGTAATCCAGAATTTGTGTATCCTCTTATATGACCCAGACCTAAAATGAGATTTGTTGTGGAGGGAAAGAAGAGACAGCTTTGAGTATTAGCTCATTCATGACAGTGAAATGTTTCGCAGGTTAATGTGATTTGCGGCATCTTTATTTCTGATGGCATGTACATCAAATTGGTCTTTTTTTAACATGATTTTTCAGTTAAATTAGACTGTTAAAAGAATAAACAAGGTTCAGCTGTTTCATTCAGTTCCTAGTTAATGGTGTATGGAATGATCATACAGTGTTCATTTTGATTTGTTTCATTCTGGTCCATCACACTAACAAATTACAAAGACAAAACAACTCCATCCAATGTGACTATTGAAGTTTTTACTACTTGAAAACTTAACACCCTTACATATTTCGGTCCCTATAGACCATCATCAGAGGGACATCGATACTTTTTGGAAACTACTATCACAATGGGTGTTTTTGAGTGTTAAAATACATATATATATACAATTTTTGTAATGCACAATATATACAAAATCTAACTTTTCCACAGTTACAGCAACTTCCTTGGTATATTGAAGTTTTTAAAGTTTTTAAAGCACTGTTATTTAAATTCAAATTTATAAACCATGTAGGTTCATGTCCCTTCTCCTATCCTCTTTCTTGATTGGGGCTGAACTTGTGCTGGATGCCTATCTTGAGAAGGAGATTCTTGGTATTGTCCTTTGTTTGTTCAGGGCGTGCTATGTAAAAACAACACAGCATAGGGAGTTTATCAATCACTGGCACCCTACTTATCTGTTACAACCAGGTTCATTGAACATGATAAGAGGGACAGGCATATTACATATTTGCTGCAGACTGACACGGCATGTTGTCTTCAAATATAAACTTATCTTAAGCATAGTCCAGTGGTGGTGTGTTTGGTTTGCCAGTCTAGAGGAGGTGGCAGAGGATATGGCAGCTGAGGCTGGTGAAGAAGCAGCTGAGGGGGAAGTGGAGGCTGTGGAGCAAAGAAGTTCCATGGGGTAAACCAGCATACACTGCAGACTGAATTTGTATTTATTTTCCTCAGTTTGGTTTCTTTGTTGGGCATGGCATGGAACGAGGTTTTATTGTGTCTGGCTGAATCATTTGTCACATTGATTGCTGAAATGTAGTGAGGCTGCCTTTGTTTCTTTTCCAGCTCTGTTTTTTACTTTGCCTTTGTAGCAGATGTCTGTCTAGTTTTGGTAATGTAGAATAAGTTTATGCCAACTTTCATTGCATATAATTTCAAACTGTTGTTCACATTTTGATTCTGTGATTTCTACTCTTCACCAAGTATAACTGATGCGATCATATTGGGGGGGATGATAGGGGCAGGGGTGTAGCATTCATAAGAAAAATTTTACATACATACAGAATTCTCGTTTGGACATCTGCCAGTCTTTTAACATAAAAAAAAAGTCATTGCTACAGTGTGAGAAACCAGCTTGTCATTCGGGTTGGTCGGGTGAATTGCTCCTGACTTTCGCCAGCACAGTCATTCTTGGTTTTGATTCCTTTTGGACTCACAGCTGTATTTTACTGTCTCACGACTCTGGGAGTCTTAAAACAACTCTCAGAAGCCATCTGGGATAACTGCTGTACCTTATATGTAGAACCCTTCCAACAGGATTGCCAGGCTTTTAGTGAGGTGCAGTGTAAACACTGGACATTCCAACCTGAAAGCATGTGCACCTTTTGAGACCACTGATATGGCATAGGCTTCAGATTGCCAGGCATCTCTTGTGAACACAGCAAGGTGTGTATTGCGAATACTAGCCGCACTAGTTAGATGAGGTGTAAAGAACAAGCATGCACATAGATTTTTCCAGCACGACAAATCAGCAGTGGGGGAACATAGCACTGAAGATCAGCATGAACTTCATTGGCTAGAAAAGCAGGCTGCAAGGACCACCAAGTGAAGGAGGCCGTTGAGACCTTGCTGAATCCTGGCATCAGCAGATGTTCAGGATTTGCACCAACATACTACACTGTAGTAGGACTGTCAGTATGCTGGATGATTCAAGCTAAGTGGCATGTGTGATGACTGAATGCCTTGACTGCCCACTGCTCCGTAGGTTCTGCCCTCTGATAAGGAACGAAGACTCCAACGGCACGCTATGTGTATATATACTGTAGGCAGTCACAGCATTTCGGAGGTAGAGAGTGTTTGAATTTCTGGATACTAATTCCATTTTCACATGGCTCATCACCAAAGAAGAGCATGAAAACTTAAAAACTTATTGATAGATGTGTGTTAACAAAGAAATTCCAAGCCCTGTGACGTAATGAAGCATTATTGAATGTTAGCAGCTTGGACACTAATAGAGTTTCATAAATCAGAATTACCATATTCAGCTTTATTTCACATTGGAAAACCATCATGCAGCAAGGTTCAGAGTTCCCTGCTTTGTGCCGTAGAGGAGTAACATTTAAATAAGGAAGGCGTTGCTGGAATTTTGTGTTCTTGGTTATGTAGGTCGAGAGTACCTTTGTAATCCAGAGGAGATGCTGGTAAAAATTCGACTGCATAGGAATTTTTCACTCATTTGAAATTATTTTACAGGGTTGGCTACTGACCATACAAATTTTGGTGATTAGAGTGCACAGTGTTTCTCTCATGTATAATAATTTGATAAATTCATGTATCTCTTTTATGTTTACTGTTACCTGAATGGTATTCCTTAATGTCAGTAATTATAAACATCTGCACATCTGATTATTCTTATTTTTATATATTCTTTTGGCAGACATCTTGTGGGTGACATGCAAATGTTCCTCAGTCCTTCTGTATATCGGGCATGTGCAACGTGTCGATCGTGGGACGATTTTTGGTCGATCTCATAGGCCTATAAGGAAATTATACATGAAAAGCTTGTAAATTAATTTGTAATATAATATGATTATATTCAGATTTTGAAGGGAAAATACATATTAGTCATTCATATTTTTCTGTTCTTAACGCACGAGGTAAATCTATACTTTCAATGTATGTTGCTTTTGCGACAAACATTATGTGTCATGTTATTTTTACCGATATTTTTGCTTAAAGCAAGGCACAACGATAGGAGGGGGTGGTAGATCACTGGCAGTTTTGACACTAAAAAGTCGATCACAACCTGTTTGGAGTGGGACGTGCCACCTGCATATGAATCTTTTGTGGACTGTGCCATGATGTAGTGTCCCTTCTTGGGTCTCTTTCCATTTATCCCAGTATTCGTTCAACCATTTTATGCAGCTTAGTGTCATATCTTGAGTAAAACGATTTTCAGTTGGATTTGTTCAGGAGTATGGCCTGTTTGCGATTATTAATTGATGAAGTCGTGTATCAGTAAAAATTAATTGATGTTTACAAAGTGCATTACTGTAATCATAATATAAGTGCATTGATGCCGATTTCCATGGATAGGCTGTCGCTGTCTTGAATAACATGACTTCCGTTTGCAATTGTTCAGGAATCTGGCGCGCTTGCAGTTATTGTAAGGGACACCTATGAAATGTCCATATAAGATTACTTTTTTACTGCACTGTGCTCAGTCAAAATGAAGATGCTAACTTAACCACTGCAAGGCTAGGTTCTTGCTGCTGTAGCGATAGCTATTGCTATCAGCACTGAAAAACTCATGAGCTGATTAAATGTTTATATTATTTTAAGTAAGCCTCTCAGAGGTATAATTGTACATTATTTGTCGTAAGGAGGATCATACTTTGCTGTGTAATGAAATGTACTAACGCAGATAAATATCAACTGTAGAAAAGTAGAAAGTATTTGTTCACCATTTCCATAATCCCATATCAGCATTTGAAATTTTGCTTAATATATTATAAAGTAAGTTTCCGCAGTAGGTGTGGTTGCTGCATTGAACTGCCAAAGTATGAACAGTATTGCCTTAACTGTCAAAATCCTTGAATGAAGTTTAAATAAATGAAATATGGACCTTCTAGCAGATAACAAGATTGGGCGGGAATGGGAAGTCATACATCTTATTTTATTCAAATACTTTTATGAAAGAGTTCTTAATTTAAATATTATAGGCCCCAAGGCCGTGCCATAGCTGAAGCGGTTAAGTGCTGGCTTCCCACCGTGGCGGCCCGGGTTCGACCCCGGGTCTGGTCAAGTGGGATTTGTGGTGGAGAAAGTGATGCTGGGGCAGGTTTTCTCTGAGTACTTCGGTTCCCCTGCCAATCTTCATTCCACCAGTTGCTCCACAATCACCCTCACCTATCATCTGGGGCCGGTACAATAGGCCAGAAGTGGTTGCAGTACAAGGGACTTAGTCCCACCCCACTAGCAATAAAATAAATCATAGGCCCCATATTTTTCTGTTTCTGTGTTGATATCTGTTTCTCTTCATCTTTCACTTTTGTTTGACCTGTAACATGAGTTAATCAGCCTTTTCAGAAGTAGAGTGTATTGAAATTTCATGCTTTTTTATGTTTGATACACTAGTGTCTTTTCTGTTTTGCAACTGCGTGGAACTTCTACTATCTGCAGCTTGTACAGTCATGTTATAAAATGCTTATGGAACTCTCATCCATTCAGATATTTAAAGGACTGCTGTTATTTTATTAGCCTTCACGTATCACATGTCCTGCTTTCTTGCTACATGAAGGTTTGTTAGTTACACATTACTTCTGTAGGGTGTCCACACTTACCACCCTGTGATATTGAGACATAATTTGCAATATACATTCTACTTCGTTTTATTAATACAGTAGAACTTGGTTATAACGTCATCAAAGGGACCTAAAAATAGTGTCGTTATAAACGAATGTCGTAACCGAAATGGGCACTTCCACAGTAGTCTTATGTTAGTCACGTAAAAATCTACCAAAATCTGAGTTAAAATGTTGCATTTTTTAGTGAAATACGTAGTTAAGTACAGACTAACGTAACATTAACGTGGAATTGCCCAAATGTGTAATATCAAAGACATATTACAGCGCTTTTCACTGACAATACACACCGCACTAATACTGTATATTAAAGGTAGGCCTACTCACCAAATTACAGTAGATTACATCAATTGTTGTGCCTTACTGTACCTAGATACGAGTACAGTAATCAGTTATCTTCATCTGTTTCCTGTTACTTGCCCAATACACACTTTCTAAATTACGTTCAATGTCCATATCAGAGAAATTCAGGAATGAAAATGACGTTACATACGAGGTTGATGCATTTGTGCATGTCGTACTAAGCAAGGTATAAAAACAGTTGCTTTATGAGGAATTAGTTCGTACCATTGAATATTTGACGCAATAGACAAGGTGTCGCAGAAACCGATGTTGCTATAACCAAGTTTTACTGTATGTACATTTTACATGATATTTTCTAGTTTATCCATAATAGAAGGCATTGTAATAAGATTCAATAGTGTTTACTGAATTACAATATAAAATAATTCTTAGGCAGCCTTTGAGTTTTAGGTTGTATTATATGATTTTGAACTTTATGCCATTTTTCACTGATGATTCATGGACTTCTGCATTGGAAATTAAATCGCCTTGAAGAAGGGTTTACAACTTCCATAGGCTACTGGGCTAATGAAGGTTTTCCTTAAACATAAATTATACATGTTGAACAGAGGGAGAGAACCCAGGATTACCCTTGTTATAGATGAATTTTCATCTGCTGTCTCTATACAATCTGAAGAAATTATTGTCTCAAATGAAGTTAGAAACTTCATTGGGTACTTGTCAGCCATCAGTTTTCCTGCACTGATTGTCTGAGGAAACCTGTCAGAATGAAAAGCAGTGAAGATCAGACACGTGAGATGGTATTGATTGATTTTATTAAATGCCTAAACAAACATATTTGTGTTTATTTACATCTAGAGTGAATTCTCGATTGATCTCGGTATAATAACTATTGTTTGAATAACTAGAATTGAATTTGTTCTGTTTTTGTTATTTAGATTGCCATGAAATCTGTTTCACTTTTTCCTCTCCTCTTTTCTCTCTTTCCAGCAACAGCAGAATTCATGCACTGCAGTGAAACCTCCATTTTGGTTTTCCATCATTCAACATTCAGTTTCAGTGATCCAAAATCAGTAATCTCAATATGAAATTTCCACCATTTAAGGTTTTCCTCAATTTAGTGTCCAAGGAGAACCTTAAATTGAGGTTTCACTGTACTTCTAAATTGAACTTGGTGACAGGATTTTGTAGATACTGTTTATATATTGTTTCATACTAGTTTTTATTGAAACTTTGGTATTGACTTCTTATTTTTGGTGGGGGCATGTTTTATGAGCCTTTGTAATAATACAGTACTGTGCAGTTTACTTGTATGAGCAAAGTATACTTACTTACTTACTCATGGAGATGAGCCCTTCTTGAGGAGCCGCAATTCTGCAGCTACTCAAGAATTTCCCAGCATTTTATGGAACCCGAAGTTTCATTACCGTATTCACAAGAGCCCTCCACCAGTCCGTATCCTGAGCCAGATCTATCCGATCTATACCATCCCATCCTATCTCTCTTAAGATCCATTCTAATATTGTCCACCCACCTACGCCTTTGTCGTCCCTGTGGTCTCTCTCCTTCCAGCTTTCCAACCAATATTCTATACGCATATGAGCAAAATGTATGTTAGGAAAATGTTTCCATGTGGTGTCTTCAGTTATTGTCATAAATCTGTGATAACTCATGCAGCGACATGAATAATTTGTATTTATTATTTTGGCAGTATACAAATGTAATAAAAAATACATCCATACATAAAGCCCATGTATTCTACGAACCAGGTACATCATACCTTGTGTAGGCAACTTTATGGAAGGAAAGTTGCATGCAAGTGTGTTTTCATTTCCTACTGGCATATGAGTACCAGAGGCACATGGAAAATAAAATCTACTAAATTTCCAATGATGACATAGCAATTTAGCAATGACGCACCCCCATTTCTATAGTGAATGGACTATACCAATGTCATGAACTTTCCCTACAAACAAATTCTAATCCTAGTTTACAAGGATCTGAAGGTTGGTATTTAAAGGACTCCAGATCTTTCTAATTAGCCTTCCCCCCATATGTGTGTTTTTTATCTGTGTAGGGGAATTTCAAGATGTGGTAATAGAGCCATATATTGATTTACATTAATTTACACTTTTCTGCACAGGGAGTCCACATTTCAAGTGAAAGGCATGTACCGTTTTTCTTTTGTGTGTGGTGGTCCCTCCCCCCAAGGCAAAAACAAAGATTCAGGCATTTTCCATTATTTTCATTGCCCTTGTGGCAAAAGTGTATTAGCGTGATGTGTGAAAATCATGATATGGAGTGTGCTTTACAGGGCAGGTGATGCTGTATCCTCATCCTCAGCCGGTCCTGGTGGGCTAAGCCCCCTGGAGGCAAAACCTGTGGAGAGACAAGTGGAAGCACGACCAGTGGATGATTCATTAGGCAGTATGGTACGCTGCCTTTATTTTGCCAAGACGTTCCTTATCACTGGTATGTAAGTTTGGTTTTGAATGCACCCTTTTCTCTCTGGATGTTTCCCATAGTCCTTTGGATTAATATTGAGAATTACATTTGAAAGACAGTGGTTTAGCATGAGCACAGACATTGTTCATAACTTACACTATTTTGTAGCTGTGTTATAGTCATGTAGACTGTCTTAAATAAAGAGGTACACAGTAAGGTGTCACAGAAAATACAAAGTGTTTGGAAAACCACATGCATTGCAGCATTTGAAATATAATTACAAATGAAGGAACATATTTACAAATTGAATGAAAAATACATCACCCAATTAATCTGTGCTACAGGAAACATAGGCAAAATTATCCTGCACACTCTTTAACAAAATTTGTCACACATGGTTCAGTTCATGTACCTTTACCTGTTGCAGTTCCAACTATGATGATTTCCATTTTAAGGAGACAAATGTAAGAGGTTTCTTTTCTAAATAATTTTGGCAATAAATTAAATTAAAGTAATTGTAAATGTGTTGCAGTTCAAATGATGACAGCTACAATGTGGGCTGGGACCAACAATGGCACAGTCTTTGTATTCACTGTGACCATTCCATCAGGTGCAAGGCGGACAGAAGAAGATGTGTCATGTCAGTTAGGAAAAGAAATACAACTGAAGCATCGAGCCCCTGTTATAGGCATTGCTGTCATAGATGGAACCAATTCACCACTTCCTGAACCATATGTGACAGAGAAAGGCAGCTCAAAACAGCAAGACTCTCCTCATCGTGTTGTTATCTGTTCAGAGGAGCAGTTCAAGGTGAATTATCAAAACATTTACTGAAGCATTAGGTAGATTCAAAGCAACAGTGTCAAGCCTGGGAATTGAGATTACATATTAGATGTTTTGTGTCCTTTCAGTATTTTGAGCCTTCTGTATGGTGTATCCTTTTGTTTCATAACTAATTCAGTTTGTTCATATTTAATCTCGTTTTTTCTTTCGGTTTTGTGTGTACTTCAGGATCTGATAGAAACCATCATTCTCCTTCTTTTTAGTGGTAGTGTTTACTGTACTTATACAGTAGAGTACCTAGTTGTTGTTGAAGGTTACCAAGTGAAGGAAAACTCTAAACAGAGGAAAGTTATTGCTGTCATGATAAGGTCATGGCCATAGAAATTAGAGATTGAGTAAGGGGATATCTCAAATTGAGGAACACTAAAGCGGATGCTTTGTACAGATAAGAAACCTGGATTATATAAATCAGGAAATTTGTGTAGATATGGTATGCACTGCATGAACTTTATTGGCTTCCTTTATCTGCATCCTTGATAGGGTATCTTCAGTGGCATTTTTCAGGCTCAGAATTGGTATATGTGTCTTTCATAGTAAATGATTATTGAAAATATCTTTGTACATATATTCATACTATACAGCCATCTTCATATACTGGCCAGAGAATATTCTCTGAGCACTGTACTTTTAAGACAAGATGACAAATATAATTATTTCTGTGTCTGCATTCAGATATTCACACTTCCAAGTCTGAAGCCTTTCTGCAAGTTCAAATTGACAGCTCACGAAGGTGCACGTGTGCGACGCATGGGTATAGCTCAGTTCACAACAGCAGGTGGACAGCATTCAGAAAGTTGTTTGGTGTGCCTCACCAACTTGGGTGACTGCATTGTTCTGAGTGTACCAGAACTTAGACGGCAACTTAATGCAGCCGTGATTCGACGGGAGGACATTAAGTACGACTGAATTATTGAACATTAGCCTTACCTCTTCAGTGCCATATAATATAAGTAGATTCTAAAGGGTTCTGATGTTGGTGGATAACACGCAGAATTACTGGGTTTTTTTACTTTTTCCATCATCCAGAATTGTAGGAAATAGAAAACATGATGTTTTGGAAACTGGATCTGTTTCCACCTTCAGGTGAGGGAGGAAAGAGCTAATCTCGAGCTCTTTCTATGGGGCCCAACTGAGTAGGTGTCTTCCTTCCTCACCTGAAGACGGAAATAGATCCAGTTTCCGAAACGCCGTGTTTTCTGTTTCCTAGAATTCCAGTTGATGGAAAAAGTCCAAAAACCAATAATTCTCTGTGATCATATATTATGCTTTGTTTCATATTTTTAAAATCGCTCATATCTGTCAAAATTTTTCAGTCTTCGGAATGAGTAAATTTTTAGTCCTTAATATCGGGAGACATATGGGATTGTCCTGCCTGATGTCTATACTATAATATACTGAATTTGTAGAGTTTTTAAAATTGATTAAGTACTTTATTTATTTTGCAAATTTTTGTTGGTTTTGATACCTTAATATTATTACAGTTAATGGTCCTGTAGACTTGCAGTATCATGTTTATACACCTCATTGTGAATCAGTATAAGAATATAAGATGCACTGTGCATAACCGAGTATAATATAACTCTAGAATTAAACAATATTTTAAATTGTTATTACTTAAATTCATGAATGGGAGGCATAAAATAAAATTAAATATTAGGCAGAATGGACAATTTCAATATTTCTGTTAAATATGAGGAAGAACAAAAGTTCAAAGAAATTGAATGAAAAAGAAATTAGTCTTCCTACAATAGAAATGTTGGAAATGAGTTAAAGTGTTCAGTTAATAAATATTATAAAATTGATATTCTGAAAGGAAGTGCTGTGCATAAGACACAAAAGTTCCATTTGAAACAAAGTGATTTCTACTTTAAAAATGAGAATGTGCTATTTATGAAAGTCACTGTGTGGAATTTTTGTAATTTTGCCTTAGGTTGCATTAATTTGTGAGTCCTGAAAATGTGAAGAAACATTACAGCTGAGATTGTTGAGCCAGGAGTCTGTTGATCTTCTTTAAAGTGTAACTCCATTCAGAAACTTGTTTATCAAGCAACAAATGGAGATTGTTCATTACATTCCAGTGGCATCTCCAGCCTGACCTTTACACGAAGAGGTCAAGCTCTGTACCTTCATTCATCAAGTGAGTTGCAGCGAGTGACTTTGTCTGCAACATCCATCACACAGCCACGTTGTAGATTAGAACTTCCTGATGGTGCTCGTGAGTCTGCTTCTGGTGAGAGGGATACAGATGAAGAGGATGAAGACACTGAGGATGATGAAGAGGAAAGGAAAATTGAGGGTAGAGAAGTGTCAGCCCCTTCACCTACTGCGCAAGAGCAGCAGGATTCAGCTCCTGTAGTTAATGGTGGCACTACAGATTTAGAAGGTACTGCAAAATGGCTGTTTCAGACTTTACATTTGCTTCTAATTAACTTTGTAATATTGGTGATTTCTTTGTACCACCACAAACCCAAACAGTATGTTGTAAGTAGTTGTGTTATATGATATTTGAGCTGAATAGAATACACTGTTTTGCAAGTCTTTTGGCTTAATTCGTGGCTGTCTATTGTGTAACAGTGCCCAAACTACCTGATGTTTAAGAGGGCTTAACAAATGGAAGTCGCTTGGAGCAAGACTCATCACCTGCAACAGTTCGGGCTAGCATATCGTGTCCTTCATTGTGGTAGCGATTTAGATGCTGTAATGCCAGACCTATTCTTTGCATTTTGTGTTGTGGGGTCAGCATGCGCGGCACCCATCATGCAAAGACTTTGTGAAAACCTAACCTGTCATGCGACTTCCATTTGTTCAGCCCTCTTAAACATCATCTTTTGGCTGAACATTTTCCCAATGATGAAGCTGTAGAAAGGGAATTCACCGCCTGGTTCCGACAGCAGCCCAAAGAATTTTATGCTTCTGGTTTACAGGAGCTTGTGAAATGATGGGGCAAGTGCTTCAATGTACAGGGAGATTATATTGAGAAATAAAAGCATTTGTGAAATCAGTACTCTTATTTGTTTAAGTTCTATATCCATTTGTAACTTACTTATTGACTTACCTACGTACATTGTCACATTGTGAACTGATATGACATTAACTTTGGATGTCATTTTATATTATGTACAAGCAGAAGTCCCTCGTCCCAAACCCATGAGCTGATTGATATACATAAGGAGAGCTGAAGAAGTGCGTAGTTGATCAGATGTCCACATGGGCATTTAAAGTAAAGCTATTGCTTTGTTTAATGAATTAAGCACCATGTTATGAAGATGTATGGGGGTGAATGGTATAGCTCCACCATTCCAGATGGATTTGGGTTGTCATCCTCATGCTCTGACTGCTATACCCTTGGTACCCACTGTATAGGAGGCTGCATGGGCCCCAAAGCTGGTCTAAATGCTGGGGAGAAGAGAAAAATCTTGAGCATATTGGGAATTGAATGTGAGCAGCTGATTGTATTTGTGGTCCTGCATCATCACTGTCTGACTTTGTTTGTGTTTGTTTCAGAAGGTAGTGATGATAAGACAGATGAGCCCAGGGAAAATGGGATGACTGGAGGAACAAGTGATGAAGACAGACATGACATGAGTGCTCTCAGTGTTGGAGATATCACCATTGACTCTGTCAAGGACCATCTTTTGTGAGTTTTGCTTTCAGACTGAAGGAGAGATGTTGTTTACATTCCTGTTGCCATGGAAACCAGATTGTTATAGGAAGCAACCAACCAACATATGTCCTTTATTTGTGTGTTGGGCATGAGGCTAATAATTCCTTAATGTTCATTTTGAGATCTGTTAAATGTTTTGGAAAATGACAGATTCTGCAGATCAGTGGATAGGAGGCATGAGATATGGAACATAGAATGTCAGAAGCCTGAACAAGTCATACGGATTCAGTATATTAGTTAGAGAGTAGTGAAATATGGTTTGTGTTAAGCTGGGATGTTGAAAGGCCAGAGGGACAAGAATAGTAATAAAGCTGACACTGTTTTTTTCTATGGAAAAGAGACCTTCGTGTAGGGACTGCGTTTTCATATGTAAGAATCATATCAGATGAAGTCATAACAGGCTGTGTGACATGGTATCTGGATGATATGAGAATAATGTTCATATTTATAATATTCAGAGCCCATGTTGTGATGATATGAAGTGCATGTTCCTGCAGGATGTGTGTAATGGACGGTTTTTGTGAGAAACTACAAATCATACCCAGCCGTGTGTGTGTGTGTGTGTGTGTGCATGTACCAACGTCTCGGTTTGTGTGTGTCTGTTGGATGTGTCCTAATGCGATGACTGACCCAAATTTATCGTGCTTTGATAGGTAAAAGACCGCACTCCACTGTAATTTATCATGCCGTTTAGAGAGGTAGGTTGCAGTAAAGGGAAAGATTTTCAGCAATGAAGTAGATAAAACAAATTTTAATATGGAAAAAGTAACATCAATAAATTGTATGAAGAAATGGTTAAAGAATACCATTAAAATTAGATATAGGCTTGGAGTTTTAAAACACCTAGAAGAAACTGTAGGATAGAGTGAAGTTGAACACAGCAGTCTTCTGGGATTTTGCACCGTGTATATGTGGTGTTAACCGACGTTTCGGAGGAACGTATCGCCTCCATCTTCAGGNATATACCGCACATATGCACACTTCTAAGTTTTGAGTGATGTATCTTCAGATGAAGGCACTTACCTGAGTAAGATTAGGCCATTATGCTAGTGAGGGATTTTTTCCATTTCTCCTGTTTCATACATGTATGTCTTATGTATGTTCTGCAGCAGCACATCTGGAGCTGAGGAAAGTCGGGTCTCAGAGCTCAAGTCATCTGCTTCCAGTACAATGGTAACAACAACAACAGCGACAACAGAGAAACTTGAGCAGCAGCAACAGTCTGTCGTTGTGAGAACGACGACGACAGTCATCAGCAGTACCACTAGTGGTACTGTTACCAACGAGACTGCGACTGTCAACTCTACTGGCCACACGCCTGACAGTGAGTAACATTCCTTCTGAATTCTCATATCTTCTGTACCTGAGACATCTGATGACTGCAACAACAATTATTTCAGTGTTTTGAGGAAATAATGATCACATATTCAGAGAGCAGCATAGAACACTGGAAAGGAAGTACATCTTTTAATCATTTAGAAAGGAAATGCAAAAACAAACTATCTCACCCTCAGTTAGTGTGGCCTATATAATATTAGGTGGGCTATGAAACCTGAAGTACTGCCTCTGTGGTCTAGTGGTTCGAGTTCCTGCATACAGATCCAGAGGTCTGGGTTCGATTTCTGGCGCTACCAGATTTTCTGAGAAGTAGTGGGTCTGGAACAGGGTCAACTCAGCCTTGTGAAGATAATTGAGGAGCTATTTGAAGGAAATAGCAGCTCTGGTCTAGAAAGCCGAGATTAACAGGTGTGGGGATCCGCTGCGCTGACCACGCACACTCTCTATCCGCTAAAGTTGGCACTAACTTTGCCGACAAGCGGCGTTCACTCTGTCGGTGTAGTTCGCTTGCGGACTAAAACCACAGAGTTTGTTTCTTGTTTGTTTGATGAGCGTTTATGGACTTTTTCATCTGTAGCAATATTGTAATTACCTTAATATTTCAGTCCATTATAGACATGAACGCATATATGTGTGCTGCAGAACAGCAGGTTATATAATCTTTTATTTCAGCAAATCAGACTTGTACTTGTGTAAGACTTCTTATGGGTTGTAGTGAGACATCTGTTGACAAGGCTTCATAATAAAAATTTAGGCTCGGTGCTCATGTTCGTGTTCCATTTTTGGGGAGTACACAAGTTGAATAATGATCGAGCTGAAATGTTTGTGATTTTATGATCCTTCAAAGTAACATGTAGTATAAGACAATAAAATGTGGCATCCTGTAAGGGTGTCAGTATATAGATCACAGATGGAAGTAAAACAGCTATAATGGACATAATAGGTTTTCTGTGTGTATCATGAGGCAGTAGCACAGTCAGTCTTCTTGATAATCTAGGTAGCAGTGCTCAAGGTGTGTACTACTGAAGAACAGTGCTGTGATGTGTGTTTTTTGTGAGCGAAAGGACTTAATGCAAAGAAGATTCATAAAGAAATGTTTCCTGTTTAGAATGGGAAGTGTTTGTCATGTAAAGCAATTCACAACTTGAATGAGAAATTCTCTCATGGACATCTGAAACTCACAGATGATGCCTGACCAGGTCACCCTGTTAAGATTGCAACGGAAGCAACTGTGTAGCAGGTGGAAGTGTTGATTCAGGCTGACAGGAAGATAGTGTAGCAACTGCACAGTGGTGTTTCCATGGTTTGGCATACAGCATAATGCATGATTGTTTGAAGTTTCAGAAAGTGTGGGCACAGTGGCTGCCCAGAGAACTTTAAGGATCAGGAAGTACTGAACCGAATGGTTGTCTTTTTGCAACATCTCTTAGATATGCAGATGAAGGAGAAGATATCCTTAACAGGATTGTTACTGGAGATGAGTCATGGGTGCATCACTACCAACACAAATCAAAGTGTGTGTGCTTCAGTGCAATGGAAACATCCCAGTTCACCTTCAACCAAAACGTTTAAGGTTATGCCATCAACTGGGAAGGTTTGCTTACTGTGTTTTTGGATTATCAGGGAGTACTGTTAGACCATTTTCAGAAGCTTGGTGAAAATTTGAATTCTGCATCATGTTGTGAAGTTCTATGGCAGCTTTGGGATGCAATTCGCAGAAAATGTTCAGGCCAACTGGCAAGAGGGCTAGTGCTTCATCATGAAAAAACCAGACCCCATACAGCCCAAGCAACCCAAGAAAGAATTCAAGGACTACAGTCAGAACTACTTGAACATCTGCATTGCAGCCCATACTTGGCCTAGTGATTTCCTTCTGTTTGGTCTGCTAAAAATCCATTTGATGGTGACAAATGATGAAAAGTTTGAAACAGAGGTGTGGACATTTCTAAGACAATGGTCAGAAGACATTTATGCTGTGATTTTCAACAAAAGCAGTGGGACAAGTGTATCCATGTTGGAGGGTATGTTAAGAAATAAACATTTTCTCCAGATTCGAATGTCGCATGTTTTACGTTTTATATCCATTTGTGACCTGTATAGTGAGTCTCCCTCATATAATCTAAACTTTTTTTATTGCTAATGGGGTGGGACTAAGTCCCTTGTACTGTGGCCACTTCTGGCCTATTGTACCAGCCCCAGATGATAGATGAGGGTGATTGTGGAGCAGTTGGTGGAATGAAGATTGGCAGGGGAAACCGGAGTACTCGGAGAAAACCTGCCCCAACACCAATTTGTCCACCACAAATACCACTTGACCAGACCCGGGATCGAACCTGGGCCGCCGCGGTGAGAAGCCAGCAACTAACCGCTTGAGCTATGGCGCGGCCTAATCTGAACTTGCTAGTTACAGTCATTTTGTCAGTTTTGACCTCATACTGTTTAGTCTCTGCTGAAACGGTAAGACTTCTATTTCCCCTTGATTGAAAGTCACTATTTTCCAGTGATCCCCTACACTCTGTTTTTGTTTGACTTCCCATTGTGACCATGTGAGAACATGAAGTATTTGCATTGATTGAATGATTTTAAGCTTTATCATATCTCGTTTAGTTTTAAACTGCAATCGTGTGTGTGCATGCGTGCGTGTCACACACATTATTTATTTCAGTTCTCTTCCATCTGACATAATAAGACTGTCATGCCAGTATCTGTTTCAGGCTTCTGATGGTGATCACCCCAGTCCTCTCTTCTGTGCTAGCTCCCAACTGGAAACACATGAGAGCACCTTTTGTATTTTTGTCTTCCTTCTGACTTGGTTAAATGCTCCTTTCGCAGATCTGACATGACCTTGAATGAGTATGAATGCTATGTTGACTGAAGATCACAAGGACAGGACAAGACTGGAACCTAGTACTTTCAGGCTAAGAAGGACCCTGCTAGGATCAGTGTTCATAAATAAATCATAGCAGGAAAGCATAACAGATACCTATGTAGAGCAGTTCAAACACACAGTGTCAACTGCTAGAGTTGGGCTCCAAATAAAGAATATTTTATTTTCACACTGTTGTGAGGCGTGGCCATCTAGACTGTGGATATGCTGCCCCAGTTGTGTGTTACATGGCCAGTAAATGTTTACTAATGGATTCTCTTATATCAGAACATTGAAGTTCAAGCACTGCTAACAGGAGCCCAGTACTGAATTGGTTTTTAAGCCATCTTAATGAAGTCAGCAATGTCATACCTATTTCCTGAACATTAAATTTATATTTAACAGAGCTCCAGCCTATTGTTACAAAAAGTCACCTTCCTAGACACTAAAATCTGTATCTTTCAGTGTTTCTTCCATCTGAGATGTCTTTAACATTCATGCAGCATAAAAATGTTGGTACTATGTGTCAACACAAATGACAGGAACGCATGTATATATGACTGTTAGAGTTGATGAGCAAGAGGACCATACTTCATGAATGTTATTCCATGGGTCAGAATCCTTCATGAAAAGCTAATAGACACTTGTCTAGTTAATGAAATTTCTTGTCTTTTGGAACTTTAACACTTAGTTACGATATTCATAGAAGCCTGCCACTAGACTATCCAGATCAGATGAATCCCGTCCTCATCCACATAACCTAGTTTGAATATGTTTACTCACTCACTCATGGAGCTGAGCCCTTCTGGAGGAGCCGCCAATCCTGCAGCTACTCAAGAATTTCCCAGCATATTACGGAACCCGAAGGTTCATTACCGTGTTCACAAGAGCCCTCCACTGGTTCCTATCCTGAGTCAGATCAATCCAATCCATACCATCCCACCCTATCTCTCTCAAGATCCATTTTA